GAGTGCAGCGGCATGCTCATGGTCACTGCAGTCTCTATGTGCTGGCCTCAGGTGATCCTTCTGCCTCAGCCTTCCAAGTAGCTGGAATGACAGGCACATGCTACCATGCCCAGCTAAGTTTTTGATTTACTGTCGAGATGAGGTCTCGCCAAGTTGCCCAGGCTGGGCTCAAGCCCCTAAGTTCAAGCAATCCTCTTACCTCGGCCTCTCAAAGTGCTGGGATTACAGGCTTGAGACACTGCGCCTAGCCATCATTATGCAATTTTAAATGTTACTAATGTTACCATGTTAAGCATAACACTCATGCTCAAATATTTACTTCTCGGGTCACCCACCATGAGTGATCCAGAACAGGAAACAGTGTGGACAGCATATGGTTGTGGGGTCTGAAACCTACAGGAAACTCACGTGCAAAGACCAAGAATACTAGATGCCTTCCCTTTCCTATGACTCTGAGAGAGATGGAACTAATAGGCATTGTGACACTCCTGGGGGTGACAGAAGCAGCACTAAGGCAGCAGCTTCCCAGGTGCATGACAGTTTGTGGGTCGAGGCATTCACGGGATCTGTCCTGGAAGGTACAATGGGGGAATTTTCTACCACTCTGACCAGATGTTACCCTGGGGATGGGGTGGGAATTAAGCTCTCTATCTATGAAAGCAGGGTTATAAACAATAAACAGACACAAAGAATATGTTGTCACTTTCCAAGGAGAATTGTTTTCTAGTTGTCAGCGTGGACAAATATATTTTTTAAAAAATTACTAATTTCAAAGTAATCTTTTCCTCTTTGGTGTGAACTGCTCACAATATGAAAGAATGTATACTAAATGCCCTATGAAATCATTTCAGGAAAATAACTATATGTTAAATAACTTTGCTCATCATTTCAATAAATACAGCTATATAACTTGCATATTATTTTTAAAAGTAACAATATTAAATGATAAAAAGTTATATTAATATTTACCTTTTGTGGAAGAGTTATGTTTTTCTTGTTCTTCAATGTATTAAATGCACATAATGATGGAAACAAAGGAAAAGAAATCAGCAAATTTATAGTTAGACATGGAAATGTGAATTAACACAATGGCATGAGTAATAAAAATGCATAACATATAATGTGACATGATAAACCACAATGACAAACCATGAGGTCCCAAATATGATACTAAATTAACCAAAGAAAGAATGAATACGGCAATTTGAAGATTTAAAATAAAACATAAACACTGAGGTATTAGTAGGTTTGTTATTTGAAAAATATATTCTGCAGCATTTTTTCTTGTGATTTATGAATCGTATAATATTTCAGTACCAATTTTCCTAAAACATTTTAACGTAAACCCATTGTGATTTTTATTGTAAAACCACACTTAACATTCATAACAAAATTTTTATCATTTCAAAAGTGATGGAATTTCAGATGAACTAACTGAAAGTCCATATGATAAAGAAAGGAAATGTTTTTCACGAAATAGTGGTCATTTTCTTCATACTATGTAAGTTTCTGTAACATTTTCCACATGAAAAAAATTATAATTAAGTAAGTCTTTCTTTCTCCTCAGACGAATTAAGCTGGTGTTAAAATACACTGAGTAAAAACTACACTTTAGAAAATCTCATTTTTTAGGCACTCTGCTTCCTACGTGTTTCATAAAGCTTCATACCCATCTCTTTTCTGGTGTCCTGGGACTGTTGGTCTAGCTGTGTACTTCTCAGGGACTATTGTTAGAGTTCTGGGTAGGAGATGCTTAATGAAACATAGTAAATATAACTGGCATTCCTGTATATGCTAGTCTATGAATGATCCTTAAATGCTCTTTAAAGACATCCACTTGAGCAAAAAATGCACCACAAGGATGGCCTCAGAAACCCACGCCTTTCTGATGTGACCAATCATGCTACCTTCAGCCTTACTCTACACAAGGGCTACACTGGAATATGATATTGAAACACAATCAGAGAAATCTCGCAGAAGTGTTGGCTTTTAATTATTATATAACATTATCATTACCTAAGTTGTAAGGCTACTTTTTCGAATGCTCTATCTCAAACTCTATACTTTGGTCACGTCCTTTTTTTAATCCTAAAAATACTTTAACATAATCTGACTCTATGCGGCAAACAGACTAATATTACTAGTTTTTAAAGGAAGCTTTACAATACTTTTTATAGCACTATTTAAACATATCTTTTTAAATGATATGTTTGCCTTTAAAATAAGAGATACAGCTTTTTAAAATCAAAATATATATATACATATTTATCTTTATTTTTGTAGAGACAGGGTCTCACTGTGTTGCCCAGGCTGGTCTTGAACTCCTGGTCTCCCAAAGTGCTGGGATTACTGGCATGTGCCACCACGCCCAGCTGAGAGAGATATTGCTTTTATAGCACAAAGAAAGAATAATAAATCTGATTTACAAGAAAAGCAAACAAACATAAATCTAGTGAAACAAGCAAGTTGTCCTGGCATACATCCTGAAAACTATAATGTACATAACTGTGTCCAGAACTTGTATAAGAATACAATTCTTTAATAAGTACACCAAGAAGTTGTATTACCATCCTAAAATCTAAAACATTTGAAAGATCCCTTCATACCAATCAGCTATTTAGCAATTATTTTTTTAAAAAAGATAGCCACCCATTGTTAAAAATTAAAAACAAACAATAAATAAAACTGAAAGGAAATAAAGTGCAGTAGAGGCTTAATCAACTGTAAACAGACCACAGTCAGCATTCGTCTTCACAAGAGACAAAGTGTAAAAAATAATATTGAAAGAAATAAAAGACATAATTCTATAGCCTAAAGAACAACAATTAAATCAATCTTAACTAAAAAAAGCTAAATCCTTTCCAACTCAGACATCAATTTAGAAATTTACTTTTCAAAACATATTGTAGGACAAACAAAGCTTTCATGTTCACGGTTCGATCTGAAACAGATCCATGATAACATGGCAGCAGGCAATGTGACCCTTTACCACACGCCCCAAAGCATGAACATCATGAATACCATGTCCATTTATATACAAGACACTTAGGTATAATCACAAATGCTTGCTGTTTGCACATGACTCTTGAGATCATATATTTCAGGAACCTCAAATGATCAAAAGCATTTATTAGTGTATTTGTGATATTAAAATAAAATCATCAGTGCCATTCTCGGTCATTTCCTTCCTCCCATCTCAATTCAATCTCTACAAATTGAAGATTTCTCTGAAAGATGAACATCATCAACAGGAACACTGACATTAATAGAACACAAGCTTTTAAAAAAAACAAAACCCAACATACAAGTCAACCAATTTTGTAGAACCAACACTTATTTCTACAGAAATAATATGATTGCAGTCTCACTCTGTGAGAGCCATATACAGTACTCTTATATGCCTTCAACCCCATAGAATGTTTATTTGCAACTGTAGGAAATGCAAAGAATTTTAGGAGCACTTAACATTTTGGTTATCAATCTTTAGCAAAATACGGCCAGTAACACTGAGTTTGTAATTCAACACTGAAATTTGCAGTTCTTTTAGTTGTGCAACAGGAGTTCAGGAACAGATAATTTTTAAAACACCAACTTTCATCTTTAAAATTTTAAAACAATTTCATTTGGGTTATTTCTAGAGTTTCAATAACATTAATTATGAATAATCTTCTCAAAATATTCCCAGGAATTAAAAAAATTTATTAAACATGTGAATTGATAATTTCCATGAATTAATTGCTATTTTAGAGAAGAAGTCAGTTTCACAGTGCATCGTACTCTTCTGATCAGCTAAATGGATACCCTCAGAGCAACCCAGAACACAAAAGCATAAATCGGTACCAGGACATGTTTGAAAAATGCAAACCCAGAGCTCATTGTACCAGTATTACTCTATTCATAGGCCGATACCTCTTAAAACCTATACTAATATTTCTGAAATCAAGTATTCTGCATGGCGAACTGCCACATCAGCCTCTGAAACAATATGTTTGTCTTCTTAGATAACATTTCTGTGATACAAGTCAGTAAGGCATTTCAACTAGGTGAAAAAAATGTGTACCCAGCACCCCCGGTATAGAAGGAAAAGCAAATATTCCATCAGCAACACTCAACACTGTTGAAAAAAATATTCAACATAGTATCCTTTCAGTTATTTCATAAGGATGAAAATTTCCAATAAGTGTTTTAAGCATAAGTCCACTGCATTTATATTATAATCCCAAATTAAAAGTTATTTCAGTAAATTGCTTAACAAATCCCCGATAAGAAATATGTGAGGAAGAATCATTTCACCTACAGAGAACTAGGATAGCACTCTGGGCCACATGAACACTATCTTAACCCGGTATCTCAATCATCTACTCAAGTCGTTACATTCCCATTCATATTCTCTCTCTCTCTCTCTCTCTCTCTCTCTCTCTTTCTCTCCTCCCCTTCCTCCCTCTCTCCCTCTCTCTTTCCCTCCCGTCACTCGGAAAATAAAACACAACATATATATGTATAAAATAAGCAACTCTTTAAGCAATATGAATCATTGAAGATGCTTATTTTTTCATCATCAAACTTATATAGAAATATAGGATACTGTCAATTAAGTTAAAATTGTATACATCATTAAAGCATTCAATATGATGTTTAATTTTAAAAGTTTTAAAAGGTAAAGTAAGTCTTCTTTTAACACAGAAAATACCATATTGCACTGAGATTTTACAACATTTTATTGTCTTCCTTTGTCTCCTTGGAAAAAAGTGTGTCTAGACCTCCATCCATTCTATGCAATGACCGTCTGAAATTCATTTGTCCACTCACTTATCATAAATTGAGTGCATGCTATGAACCACTGTAATCAGGTGCTGGGATAAAAGTCTCAGAAACGTAGATTCTTAGGATTCAGAAAGCGACATCTAATCATAATACCATTCATTTCATAAAAGGAATATTGAAAGAGGGAGTTTTCAAAAGCAAGATTTTTTGGGCAGAGAGCTCTCCTGATGGGATACCTTGTTCTAGGCTGCCGCTTCGCACGGGCACCTGGGGCAGCTGTCTTCCCCGGCGGCTGGTGGGCGGTGTGTCCGCGGGAGGAGACCGGGTTGGGCTTCCCTGCCGGTGCATTCTGCAGGCAAGAGTCAAGGGAGGAAATCATGAAACTCCAACACAGCTGACAAAAACCCTTTCCTCCTTCCTGCTCCTATTAAAACAGACTAAACCCTCTCACTGGGCTGTTGGAAGCAAAATCAAATACTTTTTATGATATGTATAAAAGTAGTATTACCAAAAAAAAGGGGGGGGGTGCTAAAAGAGACAGGGCAATGTTCTGCATAACAAACTCCTGAACTGAGCAGAATTGAATTTGCTTCTTTACATTGACTTTCTATGAATCTATGCTTTCTGGGCAAGCTTTTCATTTTTGATTCATTTTTGGCAGTGCTGAACCAAGTATATTTAGTCACTGCCTCTGGATCTTAATAATTTAGTTAAGAAAGGCTGGTCTCTAAATTGCTATTATTAAATCAATATATGCTCTAGAATTATTTATAACTGATAAGGATGATTCCAGTTGTAGACTTTTATAAGTTAGCATTCTTTAAACTTAATACTTAAAACAGGAAAAACCTTGGAAGTTATTTAAAATGATATTGGACACATTATAAGATTCCCTGTTGCAAGGATGAAGCCACAAATTCTTCACAAATTTGAGAAGAGTGCTGATATATTACTACTGCCCAGGATTAAGCTGACTTCCACCTGATGGAATTTCAACACTGTTCAAGCTAATGAATATTAAAATACTAACACTTTACTGGATACATATAAAAGGCTTTTAAAAATTCCTCCTACACTATTTAAAGTAATACACATTTCATTCCAGGTAATTAATCATAGAAAATGTCCCTTTATTTAAAAATTATATATGAATATGCCACAAACAGATGGAAGGACACCACACAGCCGAATTTCATTTCCAGTGATGGCTGATTGGCAGAAGCCATAGAGTCCCATCAGCACAGTAAAGGGAAATGCAGGTGGTAGAGGATGTGGGAGATTTCAGTGTCACAAAGAAAGGGTTAAAAATTATGGTGTCATGATGAGTGAAAGCTCCGTGCTCGGGAAGGCACAACACCACACCAACGCCCGCAGGCAGGACATGAATGCTGCTGGACACTGAACAGCGACCTTGTCAGAAGTGGAGAAGGTGGTGCAGACCCTCCGGGCACCAGATGGTGCGTAGAGCACAGCGTTCTGACACTAGGGTGCTCACTCGACCGGGAGCGAGCAGGGTGCTTGCCCCTAATGCCTGGCTGATCGGTCGCTCTTGGGGCTGCGTGTCCCCTTCTAGAAAGGCATGGTGGGAGAACCCTAAAACATTAGGGCCAAAAAAGATCTCCAGTCAGCAGGTTCACATGAACTTTGACACCAACACATTTGTCCAAGGAAAACCTGGTTACTTTACAAGACAGTCATTTTATAGAACTGGAAGAAAACTCATCATGCAATGACCAAAATGGAGCTCAGATCCCACAGACAAGTTATTACTGCACATGTGAATGTTATGTGTTCTCAACGGCTGACCCGGGCTCTCTCACATAATCAACCTCTTGCGAGGTCCACAGCAACAGAGACTTCAGTCTCTAGTGTTCTATGAAGCTCAACTCCAGTGCCCAGAATACAGCTGCAGAGAGCAGAGCTCAGTGAAGGTATGTTGACTGAACAAGCAACTATCACTAGAATAACAAATACAGGGACTTCAAGGGCTTACTTTCCAGAAGAAATACTGCAGAACTCTGTGTACATTTTACAATTTTTATAATTTTACTCTGTAATAAAGCAAGTCTATGCCAAATACACAGCAAAAAAAGGATGCCCTTTGAGGTTAATCTAAGCAGATCAAGAAACTAAAATAATATAAGATGGTATGCTTGTTACCATACCAGTTGTAATTAATGCTTCATTAATTTCATGACTGATTAATGCAAATAGCTACTGTATAGACAAAAACATTTTCTGTTAGTAGAATAATGTCAGAAATGGTATTTGTTCCTATTTTGACAGTTACCTTAATATGGTACTCAAAATTATTATAAATATAATTAATTAAGAACTAAGAATTAAAATCCAGTGTTCTATAAACATGCATTTATTTAAAACGAACATATGCTTTTGCCTTCTTCATCATTTGGGATATAAATTTTAAATAAAATTCATGATTAAAATACTTAGTGTATATTATTTTGATAAATGAAATGACACGACACCTTATCCCTGTTAAAGCAAAGCTGCAAAATATACTTAAGTGACTTAGCGTGCGTGAGAAAAAAGAATATACATTTACCACCGTATATAAGTGAGTGATTTATTTGACTTCCACTCAGATTGATAGTTTTCCTTTAAGTGAAATGCTTTTTAGAACTCTAACGATTGTGATTTGGAGGCTCTTGTCCTTCTAAGTACAGTGAATGCACCAGACTGATGAGAACAAAAGCTGTACCACTTGGGGCGCTCACGAAGGGGCATTGCATTTCCTTGGGCTATGGATTAAAGAATTCTTCATCAGACCCAAAAGTCTGTACTGTCACCTCAATTTACAGATAAAAATAAAAAGTAACTAACAACATTCTACACTTCAACACTTCATTCTGAATTGTCTTTTTACATGCACTCAACCGTACAGAATCAATTTCTATGAGATAGATGAGATGATCTTTCCAATGATAAGAGTTTTATTGATTACTCTTTAAAAGCCATTATCATGAGACAAACTTCAGGCAATTCTTGTTCACAGTACAATTTCTAAATGGGGGTTGAAAACCAAATTCTGCAGCTTTTACCCTAGTACTGAGAAATTTCATGGGTATTCAACATTACTAAGTTCTTGCCCCGTTCCCTAACGTAATTCGTAAGTACTGAAAGAAAACCTCAAATGTGACTTGAAATGTAAATAATGTAGGCAAACTCTTGTGGCACCAAATGAAATGGCAAAAGTATGAGTACAATTTCAGGGGCAAATAACAGCTTCCTGGGCAAAAACTTGTACATGCAGTTCGACCATGTGTGGCTCTGTCTCCCTCCCCAGCCTCGAGGTCTGCAGGTTGAGACAGCTGATGCTGAGATCAGTCAGCACAAGATCTGCTTCCCTCTGCCACGGAAAGTCCCTCGATCCTGCCATCACCGCTCTGTAGCAAGCATGAGCAGAGAGATCACAGGATTTGCCCAGAAGACCATTCCCCCCAGGGAGGACAGGAAGGAGGCTGCATGGCTGTCTGCGGAAAGGACTTGGGGGGAGGAAAACGCAGACCTGATGGGAAAAGAGCAAGGTGTCACAGAGGAGAGAGATGGAACCAAGTGGGTTTGTTGTGGGCAAGAGGAAAGGGAGATTAATCAGAAGAAATCAGGCAGAGTGTGAGGTTAAAGAATCTAGGTTGCTGATCACTGATCTTTTCAAGGAAATAGGATATGCTAAGAATGTGAGGATGTCAGAGGATGAAAGAGACTCGGAGCACACAAGTCAGGCAGATCAGGGAGCCAAGGACTGAATAAATAACAGTAAAATAACAGTAATGGCATTCCTGACCCAGCATCACTATGGGGCATCTACACACGCCATGTACAGGCTTGCTTGAGTGCATATGTGTATCATCTATAAATGTATATACATACATACACACGTGAAGGCACGTATTATGTATACATGCATGTGCATATCTGTGTGTGCACGTGTATACATGCACACGTAAGTACTTTTTTCTCTTCTCATACACTGAGAAATGTTATCATTATTTTATAGATGGGAAAGTGAAGAATCTTAAAGTGACTTAACAAAGAGACAAAGAGCTAAAAGTGGCAGAGTCAGGGCCCACACGGGTCTGCTCGCTCTCTGCTCTGATAGTGAGATTGTTTCTGTATCATGAGATGAAAAATGGCAATTCACATCTTAGGATGTGCCATTAACACAATGAGTATATGAATCCATACATGCATAGATGTATTCCCAAGAATTAAGTTGATGGGCAGATCCTAACAGAATTGTATTCTGGGGATCAAAATCTGTGGATATGGGTACGAACAGCACCTACTCTGATACACACATGCAGGCATGCAAATATATCCTCATTCTTTAAAATTGAGGCTTTTGAAGCAAAACTTCAGTTCACACTTAAGTATGCCGGGCTCTAGTTTGTTACCTCCTCCACATGTGTATATAAACATTTATGCCTGGGTTCAGTCTGTGCCTACTCTCTTCATCTAAGACTGGGGTTTTGTCTTGGACTTAAGTAAAAAACATTTCTCAATAAACCATAGGTCCCTGGGTAGACACTTTACTGCTGCAAGTGAACTTGTGGTAAACTGCATCTACTGAAGCCTAAAGATGGAGTCCTGGGCTTTTTAAATGACTTGCTGAAGGACAATCTGCACATGCTGGTCAAGGAAAGGGCAATAGCACCGCCTAGTGAAGCGCTTCAAAACACAAGTGCCAGTAAAGCGCTTCTAAACAGAAGACGCAGTGGAGCACTTCAAAGCAGGAATCCAGACAAAGCAGACCCATTAGGAAACTGAATACAGGCGCCACAGGAAAAAGTCACTGGAAGAGGAGGCAGAAGCGAAAGCCCCACTCTCACAGATGGATTCACAGGAAGATGAAAAGTCAGATTTTTATCTCACCAAAGAGCTTCCCAAGACATATGAAGCACCACTTTGAACAGCCAAGCCCAGGAGACATGACCAGTTCTGCTTGTCGTCTGTCTACACTGGTCATCATATCTTTCCAAATTTTTCCTTACAAGGCTATTTCCTCAAGAGGCCATGTCTGTGAGGCCAAGAAGAAGTCTTTAATATTGCAATCATTAACCATCAGATCTTCCCAGAAGACAATGCACGATGATGGGGTATGATTCCTTTTGAAAAGTTGTTCACTCGCAAAGGCCAAGAATCAGTGTCCGAAGCATTCACTCTGAGACCATGGCCCTCCTGGGGGATGTGACCTCAAGGTTTCTTCTGTAGAAATGAGAGCTAATATGAACCAGAAAATCCAGGCCAACTCTTCTTTTGAAACTAGCTATTCAACAATCCATTTTAAAACTAGGTATGTAATGTATATGCCAGTAAAAATCAGTGAAGAGCTCTAGTTACCATCAAACCAATCTACATATCTAAAAGGTTAGAGTTTTCTATATTAAGCTGCAAGCAAAGGCAGGAGTGATTGTCCTTGAACAGCTAACACTTTGGCATGAGAGTGAATCCCATCCACTCTGGAGTGGGATCAGTGTTTATCCAGAGGCCATATTCAGGGCTGCAGCAGCAGACACCCCATTATCACTCATGGGAGCGACATACCTGCTGCCAGCTCTGGAACTGTCTAGTATTTTGTATAATATGTCCTATTGTCAAAAAAACGTGTTCATGAATAGATCCTCAGCACATAATTGCACATAGTCGTCACTCAACTGAGATTTTTAAGTGAAATAAAAATAATAGAACTTTAAGGAAAATTTTAAATCATGTCACAATAATTGAAATTGTGTGGAGGGGGCTGGGAATGATAGCTGAAGATTGAAAACTTGTTTAAGGAACTTGAGTCATTTGCAAAGAGAGTAAATAAACTGCAGTTAGGTGAGTTGAGATTAAAGAATGTGAAGACAGAAATATAGTAAGCATTGTTTCATCACAGGCTATCTACCTTCTATCAATATTATCCATCAATCAACCTTTCCTATATCAGTCTACTTATCATTTGTCTATCACTTATCAATCAATCCACCATTTATGACTTGATCATCTCCTCTCATCTTTCAGTCATCTATCATCTATTAATCCATCATTTATCAATCTATCAACTATCTCTCATCTATCAATCATCTACCATCTGTTCATCATATATATCATCTATGACTTTATCTATTATTTATATGTTATTTATCAATCATCTATCTATTTATCTGTCCAACATCTATCTAGCTATCTGTGGATCATCAATCTCTTATCTATCATCCATTTTATCTATCATCTATCTATCTATCTATCTATCTATCTATCTATCTATCTATCTATCTATCCCCTTCCTCAAGTCCAACTCCTTTTTCTCCTTTTGTGAGCCCTCTGTATCCTTATTACATTGTGAACTGCATTCCCTAGAAAGTCAACATGTACATGGACCACTGTCCAGAAGTAAATTTCATCTCCCTTTCACCTGCCACATCCCTTGACATACCTCATGCCTACTCATTTTTCAGATCTCAACTCAGTGGTAACATCCTCTGGAAAGTCCCCCTCTTTTGCTACTCACTATTCTACTCCTTGAACATGGCACATATTTGTTAAGTAAATGGACAGATTCTATCCCAACCAAGCCTACAGGAATAACCTGGCTGGTGTCTCACATTTACCCCTTGACCTTTTGATCTATCTTCAAACATGTTGTCTTCCTGACCTATGATTCTAGAACTAAAACTTATCACTGCCTCCTATGTTTAAAACACATCAATGCCTCATGGGTGAATAAGGGGTTGAAATCTTTCCATGTGGTGCTGACGTGGCATAGCTACATCACTCCTGTCACCTCTCAGGGAGTCTCCAACCTGGGCTCTTACTTTCAGCCCTCTTTCCTGTCGTTTGAAACCTGTTCTCCATCCCAAAGCTGGCACAGTTCCCCAGATGCAAGAGCACCTCCAGCCTAAGTATCTCCTTACATTGACCCTCACGAGACACTCTGCTCCTCACATCACTTCCTATCCCATGGTCTGGCTCATGAGGCAGGTCCATGACCATGTCTTGGTCCTACTCACAGCCCACTCTGTTCCTGTTGCACCTGTGAGACCTGTGTAAGCTATGACACCCGAATACATGCGTTCATTTATGTCTGTGTCACTGGATGTGCTCCCAGTAATTGCTGGATAAGTGAATGGGTTAATAAATATAAGTTAGTTGGCACTTTTAGGTGATCTTATGGCTATGTTTCAAAAGCATTAATATGTTGTACTTAAAAACGTTCAAAAATTGTGAAGTTGGATAAACTGCAAACAAATGGTTATACATTTTCAAATTAACTCAGCATATATCTTTGCTTGTAATATATAAGTAGAAATATTAGATTATGAATTTGAAGAGAACAGATCTTTTAAAAAGATGGCATTAGTCAGATAAATAAGACACTCAATATATTTGCATATTTCAGGTATTATATTCACTGATAACATTTTAAATGATTTCGGAAACAAAGCATTGATGTCCTAATAAGTATGTAGAAATGTGTAAGCATTTAATCCTCATTAGTAATGATCACTAAGAGAAGATTATCTTTTAAATCCTGCGTTTAAGTTTGGCCTTCAAAATTACCCTTCTCTTGTTTCTCCCATGAGTCTGTTTCCACTCAGGTATATTTAGTCACAGGAATGTCCTTAAACAACACAATCAGTGTGTCAGAATGGACCCCACAAGATGGGTGGGAGCATCCTGACGTGTTCTGAGACGCGATAGGCAGCACAGCACAACACCAAGCCTACCTTTCCGCGTCAGAGGCAGTGCCTTTTCTAGTCTGTTTTTGGATGCTAGATCTTTCAGACTTTCTGGAGTGCCTGTGGAATGAAATGTTAAAGAAACACAAAATATATGATGAATAAAGCTACATTAATACTATACAATGATAAAAGCAATAGACATGAAAATGGTACTATCTTACTTAAATGGCTTGTCAGTCAGCATTTTCAAAATAAAAAATATACGATAATAAAATGAAAATCAGCTGGTGCTGAGTATATGATTGGTGTCCAACAGGAGACATGAGACATGGGCCTTCCGCCAGGCAGAATGTCCACCACAGCCATGGTCGGATGTGGACATGCCAAGCGGCCGTGCCTTCATGAGGGAACACACGGGTGAGATGGGTGGTGAGGGTGAAAGTGGGTTGGGTGCTGAAAGACCTCAGAAGGCATCTACAAGCTGGCACCTGGTGCTACTGGGATGGTTTTGTTTGGTTGGTTCCCATAAAATGATAAAGAAAAGAAGAGAAGATGCTATAGTGGAAGATGTTTTACATAAATGAAAGTTTCATACATAACTATTCCAATTATTTTAAAATTATCATGAAGATGTTTTCATAAATCACCCAGCATTTTAAAAAGCACATAGCATTTTAATCACATGACACAACTCAAAGAATTAATTAAGTCCCCAATTTATTCCACTCTTCAAAAGTATATATGTACTGAACACCTGACACTGGAAATTTATTCTCCCACAGAAATAATGTTACAGAGAAAACTTACTTCTTCAAGGCAGTGTACGTCTGCCTAATCAGTCTAAAATGTCTTAACTACCACATGTTTGAAATAAATTATTGTGGTCAAGAAACACATACTTTCAAAAAGAAAAGCAATAAGAATGTGTATTCTTATACTGACTGATTCTCTAAAATTTAGGCTCTTTTTTTTGCCTGATATCTTTTCCTTCTAATAATGTGAGACAAACACCTGTCTCTACTTATTGACGTCAGACACCCTCTCGAGTGTACATGACATGCAAGTCCTCCAGGCACTAGGAGCACAACACAGCACACGTCTTTCTTCCCAAGTTGCATAGATGCCGGGCTGTTCCTCTCCCTGTCTCTTCCATTTTGATCACAAATTGGGGTCTCGCTATCTGCCCTTCAGTTCAGGGTGTCAGTGGTGTGTTCTTCAGACTCACATTACTCAACATCAACTTCTAAGACAAAAACAGGGAAGAGAGAGAGGAGGGAGACATTTCTCACTCCCCACATTCCCTCCAGCTGGAAGAGAGCACTCAGTCCACTCAGAGTGCCCCTGGGGCACTGGCATGAAGGGTCCACTCCTCTGTCGGAGGGCCACTGATACTGTTGGAGGGCCCCTGGGACACTGGCATGAAGGGTTCACTCCTCCGTCACCCACTCATTCCAGAGACACAGGACCAGGAACTCAGGGAGGTAGAATTCATCTACCGCATGACAACCCCCTAGAAAGGAAGGCGGTGTCTCCAGCTTATGGTGGAGAGTGTGCAGGGCAACCCCACTCAGTCAGAATGTAAAAAGCAGGGGTTAAAACATAAGTCTATCTGGCCCCTGAGCTATTTCTGCTCTTTACTGTTCACAATGAGAGTGGAGGGGTAGTAGGCACCAACACATGCCCTGAGGGGAGTGTGGGGTTCTAATACATGCCCTGTGGTGGGTTGGGGTCTTCAATACATGTCCTGTGGGGGTGGTGGGCGCCAACACGTACCCTTTGGGGGGTTGGGGGCTTCAACACTTGTCCTGTGGAGGTGGTGGGCGCCAACACACATCTGGTGGGGGGTGGGGAGGTCCCAACACATGCCCCATGGAGGATTGGGGTCTCCAACCTGTACCCCATGGGAGGTGGGGGGCTCCAACACATGCCTGTGGGTGCACCTCATTCAAGATGGAAATAGCCATGAAATCTGGGACAGGGCTGGGAAGCCACTACCAGGGGTAGCTCTCTCTAACGTTAGGACTCTGTGGTCTCTATGCTCCATGGTCAGGAAAGGGGTTGGACAGGAGGAGAGCAGGCAGGGCACAGCACACGGCTGACCCCATGGGGTGGCCACTGGAAAGCCTCTCACTGAAGAGGAGGCCTCAGCACAGGGCAGCATGGGAAGGAAGGAGAGAGAGGCAAAGTGGCAGGCCTACAAGCCCAGAAGGTGCCTGAGCTCAAATGCAAAGCAGCTCACGGTGTTGAGAGATGCATGCCTGCCCCAGTGCTCAGCTGTGCAGGAGAACAAGTGCTCTAGCTTGTCATCAGCATGAGGAGGGCAGATAGAGCAGAGGCTCAGGAGGGCCCCTGGGACACTGGCACGAAGGGTCCACTCCTCCGTCATTCACTCATTCCAGAGACAGGTGCTGAGCCTGCATGTGCACTAGGCATGGTCCAGGGACTCAGAGTGCATCTGTGAAGAAACAAAAATCTCCACCTTCAAGCAATTCTTATCTACTGGTGGAAGACAAAAAAAAAAAAAAAACACACAAACACACACAACAACAAAGAGAAACTCAAGCAGGGACATAAGAGAGCATGGGGTAGGAGACAATGCTAACACCAGAAGGATAAACCAGGAGGAGGCTCGGAAGTCCGGGTAAGGCGGACTTGGAGGGCTCGGGGCAGATGCAGTTGTACATGGGGTGGTCAGGATGGGCCTAGGAGACAGAGACATTTCGGCAAGGACTTCATATGAAGAGTTCACATGTCTATACCTTGGGAAAGAGCATCCCAGAAAAAGCACATGGCAGAGCCAAGGCCCCAAGCTTGACATGTGCCTGGTGCATTCAGGAACAGTGAGGAGAACAGAGAGGACTCAAGAGGGGTCAGATGAAAAAGCCTGGGGAGGAGGAGAGAGCAGCAGGTCCTGGGAGTCCTTGCACAAGCCCTCCGCATGGTAGAAGGCCTCAGGCAGCCTTCAGACACGCCTGTTTTTCTTCTTGTCCTTGGTGTTTTCTAGTGATCTTTCCAGATCCAACTGAGACTCAACTCCTATGTGAAATGCTTAAACTCTTCCTCCTCTTTTCATCTCCTAAAATTCATCAGATTTGTGTACTAGGTTGATGAGTAACCGAGGGTGGCAATGACGACATCAGTAGTATTTGACATGTAATAAGGGCTTTCTCTGCCTGCATAGTCACTTATCTCACTTACTCTTCTCAATCCAAAGAGGTGTATGACTCACTTTGTGAGTGAGAAGACTGAGGTTTAGAGAGGTCGAACAGCTTGTTACCCCCAACATCATCACTGACATCAAGTCAGGAGGAGAGTGGAGAAGCTATGACCTCAGTAGCAGCCATCCTGTCCATCTCTGGCCAGGGGCATAGATTTTAGAGTCAGGTGGGATTGAATCCCAGCTGTGTTTGGCTATCCCGGTCAAGTCACCGAACCTCTCTGTGCTTCAGTTTTATTTTCACCTACAGAGTGGCAATAATAATATATATTTTTATTATTATATAACAATATAATAATATAACCATCTCACAGGCTTGCTAATTTTAAACATTTCTATCTTGGTACTTGTAGTGTTTGTGTTTTTTTGTAGAATTGCATGGAACTAGGATCTGTAGTACTTCTTGCATTACTTAGAACTAACAAGTGGTGAGTACTATTAAAGTATTGTTTTAAATAATACATATCTGTTTCCTGAAGGCAAAGATCTTATTCATCTATAGGAGCATGATGGTAAATTTTCATAGAAAGGTTGCTAATCTGACCTTTTAATTTTTGTTTTCATTCTTACCCTCTTAGTAAGGATGACTATTTTTCTCCTCAATTACCATTGAAACTTTCTGTCATTGAAGATTCTTCTAATAATAACTACAAAGGATATGTTTTATGTCTTTATAATTTTTCTAACCACTTAACTGAACTAAAGTGATATATACTTGTAATAATTTCATGTAAAGCAAGAACAGAGAAAAAAATAGAAATCCAAATATCTTTTCGACCTCCAATCCTAAGTTACAGCTAAAGTATACTGTATAATTTAACATGGCTAGTTCTTAGACTAAACAGAAGCTTGAGATATGTAAATAGGAAAGATTAGAACAATACATCTTGTGGTCGGGGCCTGTGTCTGTTTGGGTTATCACTCTAACATCAACACCTAGCACATAGCAGTTGCTTCATAAGTATTTGTGGAATTGTTAAAAATTAATATTTTAAGTATTATCACAATTTGAAATCCTAAAAATTACAATAAGCAAAAAGACTATTAGGGTAATATAATCTATTTTATACCAAATTAAATCATTTGAGGCATGAAAAAAATCAACAACTTCTGGGCTTTAGAAAAATATAAAATACCATAAGTAAAATATACTTTCAGTGTTTTATTGCCTAATACATGATAAAATGTCGGTTATTATTTTATCATGATGTAACAGGGAAGCATAAACACAATTTTAGAGTCTATGGGACATCAGAATTCAACACAATTTTAGAGTCTATGGGACATCAGAATTCAATTAGTTTATCTACAACTAGTTAAGTTTACAGGTGAGGAAACTGAGTCCAGAAAAACTTAAGTGATTTATCCAACATACCACAGACCTTAATAAGTCACTGATGATAACACTGCCATGTCCTCAAGTGTTCAAGTTCTCTGTTGACTTGGCTTCACAGTGTCTCTGAATGACTTTGGTATAAACATTCTTTTTTGTTCTATTTAACTTTTTTGCCCTCATGACATTATTCATAAAGAATATTACTTTGGTTTAAACATAAATAATCAGAAAATCTGAGTTATTTTTCTTCATTCACCACTTAATAGCTGCATGATTTGAGCCTTATGTTTCCTAGTTCACAGGGCACAAATGAAATTCTTTAAAAGCTATAAAGGCACATTTAAAGGTAAACTATAACAGCAATTATTTTATTATTAAATCAAAGTGAGAGTAATAATCAGAAAACTGAGAATGTTTCTAATTAAATCTAATTCTTTTGAAATTCCATTTTCAATGATTATTCCTTCTCTTTCTGGTAAGTGTGAAGATTTATAAAATTTACTGGTGAAAAGAAATAAAATTATTAAAATCTATTACTGTTCTGTTTTCTTTTCCTTTTCAATA